GGTTTTTAAAAAGTCCTTTAGGTGAAAAGGGTTGTATAGAAAGTGTGTTTCTCCTAAGTTCATGAGAGTAGTGATGGCAGCAACAATTAAAACTCATACTAGTGTGAAAGCTTTAGTGAGTGTGAAACAAAGTGATTAATTCACTGTGAAAAATGAATGTTTTTCAGATATTTAGATGGGAGTTTCAAACCTCCACAATTTATCTCTTTTTTCTGTAGTGTAGGGTTTAACTAACGTGACTTAATACGTGGCATCTCAAGTCCGCCTTAGTTAGATCAAATTAAGTATAAGGATCAAAATTAGGGATAGAAAATTTTAGGAGGATATTTTTTAAATAAAATATTTTGAGGGACAAATCAGATTTTAGGTTATTTATAAGGATCACAAACAGATTTAATTATATTAAATATTTACAAAAATATTAAATCACTGATCAAAATATTGAATACTAACGAGAACATGAAATTACTGATTAAAATATTAAATATTAATGAAAACATGAAGTTATTGATCAAAATATTAAATAATAAAATAAATATAAAATTATTGATTAAAATATTGAATAATAATAGATCAATTTTACTATTAGTTTAAATATATTTGTTTTATAATAATTTCAAAACAAAAATTATATTTATTTAAATAATTTTTATATATATATATATATATATATATATATATATATATATATATATATATATATATATATATATATATATATATATATATATATATATATATATATATATATATATATATATATATATATATATATATATATATATATATATATATATATATATATATATATATATATATATATATATATATATATATATATATATATATATATATATATATATATATATATATATATATATATATATATATATATATATATATATATATATATATATATATATATTTTATATTTTAAAAGAATTATACATATCAATTTATTTATTTATTTTAAAAATGTTTTTTATTTTATTATATTTTAAAAATAAATACACATACTATTCTAATAATCTGGGAATGAACGCTATCTCATTAGTTATATTACTCATCGGTAATAAAATGAGTTTGGTCCACTTTCATTGAATGACGCCTCTCTAAAAAAAAGAAAAAATTGTAAAGAATAGTAATTTGAAGGTACAAAACTAGTTGAAAATAGTTAGTTGATCTACCGACTTCTAATTATGAATTATTATGATTTATTATAAAAAAGAAAATAAAAATAATTATTATTATTATTTTAATTAATTTAAAAATTATTATTTTATAGATATGAAAATTTTTAAAATTGAATTTTAGATCACATATTATACCAATTTACTCATTAATTGAGCTAACACAAAAAAAGGGAGGCCAAAATAGTTATTTTAATCTTGTTTAAAATTAGGATAGGGCCGTTTTAGGAGAAAGTCTATCTCCTTGGGATAGCTATCTTTTCATTTACATGCAAAGAATTTACCAATAACATGATTTGATTTATTCTTCAAGTCGGTGAATGTTTCAAAAACAAAAATATTTAAAAGGAGCAACGAACATACAGTATATAGGAATAAATTTCATTTCATTTAAAATAAATAGGAATAACATCTAGATGATAGTGTAAAGTAAACTAATAATTGAAATTTCAACAACACCAACCAATAACATGCATCAACACAGAGATCTAAAACTAGACCTCTTTAACACACTACGCCAAATAAGCTATTTAATAGCGTTTTTTTTTGTTTTTGATAGCGCTTAAAAGTGCTATTAACCGCGCCACTATTGTAAATATTTCTTATTTAATAGCACTTTAAAAGCGCTATTAAAGTACCAATTTATAATAGCGTTTTAATTAAAGTGCTATCAAAGTCAGTATTTTGCATGTTTTTTGTTTGTTTTTTTATAGCACTCTAAACAAAAAGCGCTAATATATAACATATGTTTGATAGCGCTTTCAAATAAAGTGCTAATAAATGGTACATATTTGGTACAATATTTTTAATAAGTACAGTACAATATTTTTTCTTACACAATCATTTTTTTTGGTGTAAATATAAAATAACTATATTCAATTCAACACAAATAACGCTTTAAGTTACTCATTGCATATATATTATGATCCATCAAATACCAAATAACATTTTAAATTACCAAATCCTATTGTTTCCAAATATCATAACATATAGAATATTAAGAGGGCGTTTGCATAGCCAAATTTGTAGATGCCCATCTATGAGTACTTCAATCCAAATCCAAAAACATACAATCAAATTCTCTAAACAAAACACCAAAAAAATAAGAAAAGAAGCATTCCATAGCTGTAAACATCTGCTTTTACGGTTATCGGTCGATTACTAACCCATTCTGGTGCCAAATAGCCTCTAGTGCCTCTTACCATTGTTACCACATGAGAATGTTCCCTTGCCATCAATTTAGCAAGTCCAAAATCAGATACCTTGGGACAAAAGTTTTCATCTAACAATATATTTTCTGGCTTGATGTCACAATGTATTATCTTGTTTCTACACTGCTCATGAAAGTATGCAATCCCTTGTGCAGTATTTTTGGCTATATCAAAACGAGTTTGCCAATCGAGCAATCTATCTGGTCCTCGAATCGAAGGGAAGATCCACTGATCCAATGAACCATTCTTCATGAACTCATAAACTAAAAGCCTGCAAAACAAACATTGCTTAAGCCAACTAAAGCGATGAAATTTGAATTCTTACGATGAAATTGTAAATAAAATAGTACACACCTCTGAGGTCCCTCAGAACAAAAACCACATAAACGAACAAAATTCATATGATGCATTGAGCCAATCGTGTTTACTTCGGTGATAAATTCTTTCTCTCCATGAGGCAAAATCTTATCAAGTTTCTTCACCGCGACTAAGGTACCATCTCCTAAGCTTCCTTTATACACACTTCCAAATCCAACTACAAAATATAAACAGTTAGCAACAAATTATATTAAAATTAAAGCGCGGTAAGATTCAATTCATTATAGGACACACATACCTGTTCCTAGAAGCTGCGAAAAGTTACTTGTCCTGATCTGTAAAGCGCGGTAAGTAAAATTCACTGGAGCACCTGATAAGACCAATGAACATTCCATCTCTCTTTTCAAAGTTCTTTTTCTATGAACACTGTAATACAGTAACATAGTGAGTAAAATAATGAGAACTATCATGCCTAGAACAATTGGAATAATCACAGCCTTTTCCTTAGCACTCCCCATTCCATCAGAAGAACTGTTATTAGACCTTCCCTCTTGTCCTTCTGGTGTCCATGAACTATTTGCTCGAACCTTCACAAACAAAGTAGAGCTCGTATCTTCAAAACCGCCGAAACTTAAACTCCTCAACACCCAACAAAAAGGTCTTTCTTCATTTAGTCCATAAACAGAAGCAACACAATCACAATCGGACAAACATGCATCGCCGCATTTTGATACAGAAGAAACATCACTCTCACTATAATTAGCTATTATTGAAGATTCAGAAAAATAATAATTAGTTTGTTGCACTGTCGAAATTCTAAAACTCGATGTCTTGTTTTCGTTTTTTCCATTAGTACATTTTCCAACCAGAGATGAATTCTCATAACATTGTCCATCTCTTCCTAGTTTAGAAGTTCCTGGTAAACAAGTGCAAGAAGCATTAGTCTTAGTTTTATCCAATTTACATACTCCATTACCACAAATTCCACCAATATCACATGGATTTGAAACTGCAGCCCACTGTGACACCCATTGTTTCGATCCATTTACGTCTTCCCATCGGTATAACCTCAGATTTCCATTCTCTTCGAGTGTCAGTCTCCTAAGAACGGTTAACGGTGTAGATTGATGAATTGCAGAAGCTAAACCTGCATCATCATTATCATTCTTATAAACAAAAACTGCACCATCAGATGAATTTCCATATACAATTCCAAAGCTTCCGGCTTGATCTAAAACCGCGATAACTTCTCCGGTTACATTGGAAATATCAGGACCTTGCCAATAAGAATAGTTTGCATATGATTCATTTTCATCAAAAGTTTGGTAACTTTCTGGAAGATTGTAAGTTAGTGCAAGACTTAAAGAAGTTGGTTGCTGAAGCATTTTGAGAGCATAGTAGCCACCATGAGATGAGGATTTTGATGATGTTAATTCTGAAGAAACTGTTAGAGGCTGGTTTGGGAGAAGTGTGTTTGAAGGTTGAGAAAAACTCTGCCATATAGGGTGGTTGTTTGTGCTGTGAAGGATGAAGTTACCAGATTCTGACATGGTTGCTGATTCTACATTAGCATTTGATGTGTTTGAGGCCCATATGGTGACTTTTTTGTCGACGAGGACGAGGTTTCCTGTTGTGTCAAGCTCCAAAATTGCTTCTTGAGATGTAGGTGAGTTTCTGTTTGGATTGAAAAAGAAAATTAATCAGTTCATTGAGAGAGTATGATAGTGCAACAACGAAACATGGACACGATACAGGTATCAGATACGTCAGTTATTGAAAAATCTAGGATAAGATACGAAAGTAGTGATATTAGTTAATAGCAGATGTACCTATTGGGTGACCAAACGAAAGTTCGATCTCCTGGAAGGCTAGCAAACCAAATGCCTAACGTGAATAATCGATTATCAGTGTCTGATGGAGTGAAGCCGATAGTGAATGTTCCGTTATCAGGTAGTCCCGAAAAACGATCGAAGTTCATAATCATACTAACAGAGCAAATTGGAAAAAAAGTTGAAAACTAACTTGTCTCAGAATAATCACCGGCAGCCACCGTGATCGAACACCGACAATAAATCCATCACCAACGACTCTAACTATTTGTAATTTCTTCATTACATTGACTCTAACTGTGGATGACTGAAAGCAGATTGAAACTCTTGCACTATTTAGATACAAAACCATTCAAATATTGAATCACATGCAGACTACTTCTCCAAAATCCTTTATTGTGAGCATGCTTTGGTTAAATATCTATGTAAGTTAGTGATAATGACTAACTCGTTCACCAAGAGTAGGAATTGTTTGATGAAACGCATGGGCATGAAACGCCACTCATGTATGTCTGCATCCAGGCTGCATTAATACCAACTGCACCAAATAGAGTATAAGTCAGTATTTCTACAATATGCCTTTCAATCTGTATCTTGAAGAAGAAGAAGAAGAAAAGGATGATCAAACAAATACATGGTATATCTATAAAAAAAATTATGAGGAACAATTAGTTACCTGCAAGAGGGCCATTCTTTACTAGATTTGCAGCAATTTGTTCTTCGTCTAAGGAAACCACACTGAAATTAGACACGGAAGCAACAACTTTGCTTTTGTCAAATTTGCAGGAGCCATCTCTTCCTGTGTAAGCATAGTCCTTTTCTTGCACTACTCCCCCAGACTGGAGTAAATATTCAAATGCATTGTTCATCAATCCACCATTACAGCCCGAGTCACATGATCCAGCTTGCTCTGGATCACACTGCAAAAATTTTACCCATTAATTTATAACTAATATACATCATATGAAGAACAGCACATGGGAATACAGGAAGCAACGATACCCATGTCAAAACTTAAAAACATGAAGAGATAGTTACCATTACAAAATTGTGCTTATAACTTGTTTTAAGTTGAAGAATATAAATAACTAGGAAAGATTCAACTCATGCCAAGTGGTACAGCTTTGCCATCCAAGACAGGTATCCATATAAATTACTCACGTTAGAATGAAATATAAACAAAAATGATGTGAGAAATTAGGTAATTGGTCAAAAATGAAGACCAAATACTTCTACTTTTCACATAATCTTTCAATTTACATCTTATTCTAGAGGCAGCAACATATTTTATACTCATAGAACTTTCAGCACTATGACAAGAACACATTACTATCCATATAAATTACTCAATCCAAAATGAAATACAAGTAAAAATAGTATATCAAAAGTCGATTTATTTGGTTAAAACCTAAGACCCCATAAATCTACTTCTCACATAACCTTTTTTACTTAAATTTCATTCTAAAAGGTGCATATTTTATAATAAAAAATATCCCAGCACATCACTTTTTAAGAAAATAATGCTTTCCATTTCCAAATCAATAAAAATTATCAGGTTTGATCTTCTTTGAATAATAAAATTTATTTCATCAAATCCAAACAATAACAAACTCAATCAAGAGGTTGGGTCAACTCAATTCAGCGGCCGGTTTGTAATCCATAAACATATAAGCAATAACCAGAATTAAACAAAAAGAAACGAGAAATTATCAAGCAAAGAAACTAACCACGTGATCGCAATCCACAAGCTGTTGTTCGCTAAGGCTAACTAGTTTCCCAGTAGCCAGATAGTGTGCTCCTTCTAAAGCTCCGGTTGTGCTAAACGCCCAACATGAGCCGCATGAACCCTAATCACACCAAATCAAATCAAATAATTAAAAACTACTATATTTAAAACAACTGGAATCGTGGTGTAACTTATATAGATAGACAACAATAATTGCAATAACCTATGAAATAAATAGTCCATACTTGCCTCCAAATCCTGCCTTTGGTACGTCCTACCAGCGAGGGAGAATTCCTTTTCCCACAAATACTGATCCGGGTTATAGTCCGCCCTGTGAATGTCGCAAAGTATACACACCAAAACTATAACTTAATATGGATCCAAAATTCATAACAAAATGAACAAGTCATCACAAGATAGAAAATCTTGATAACAAAGTATTTTCCCTAATAATTGCACTCAAAAGGGTGACGGAGACTTGAATATTATGGAGTTCCCAAGTCTAACATTGAATAGTATAAGTTGCTCGGCGGAGTATTTGAGTGACTTAGTTTGCCGGTGTCTCAGAAAAGGCCAACTACAGATGAGCTATTTGAAAATGGTCAAGCGAAGTTTCCTACAGTAGGCCTCCAGAATGGCGACTCTTGTGGGCAGTGTTAAGATATAGACTTGGGTATTATGGGGTGCTTAATCACCCCTTGGAAAGCATCCTCCATTAGCCCATACAAAAAGGAACAAGCTTAGCAAACTCCAGGTTATGTTCTCTGTTCAGCTAAGACTCTATTCACCAACGAAGTATCTCTGTAGTTATCCCTGTCATCATGTTTGGTCCAGCAAGGTAGATTTTGGCCAGGCCAGAGCTAATGCAGTGTACTTGAGAATGTAACAGTTATCTGAAACAGAATGTTCTAGGCATACCTGGGAAATCTTCACATAAATTGCTCTTCCTACGAGTGAAGGATCAACGGCTGCAAGCAACGCTGTAGGGTCATGAAGGTAAACTCCTGTATAAAAGAACTATTAATAATTCGGATGATTAGGCCTATATTATCTCTTTAATGCAGAATGAAGACATACCATTGGTGTTGTATGCGTCACAATGGTAAGAGAAATACACCTCTAAGATTCCGGTAAGGTATTGAGCAAATTTTCCTTTTGAACTTGCTAACTTTTCTCGATCAGAACCTAGTCATTTTGTTTTTTCGGATGAGGGTAAACCAAAACAAATGTTAACATGACAAGTGACATGAACCATAATTAAAATAGAAGCATGCTCATAGCAGTCAACCGATGTCAAGTTTCATGCTAAAATACTGCCAATAGAGACACAAAGGTAATAAAAAGTTTCATGGGTTTCAAAATATTATAGGAACTAGTTATAGATATAAAACCAGTCACGAACTTCACTTAACAACTGAAACTTTTGAGAGTTAGTCATTGACAATTATCATGGGGGGAAATTATTTAAGTTAGTTGAAACTTTTGAACTCGGTCTCTCTCAATCCAAACACGGTGATCTTTCCCTGCCTTTGGCATGTGTCTGCATTAAATACTAAAAGTGCGGTGATACCATGGAAAATAGATTATTATCTACCACAATATTATCCATTAATCAAAGGTCTCCCGAGAATACTAGTTTGGTTAGGGAGACATCCATGAAATCTGTTGAGTTGAAAACATTATTTATGGGAACTTATTAATATAAAAGTTTAAAATAGTCATATAAAAGGTTGCTGGATCATGATGCATAAATCATGAAAGGAAAAGGAAACCTCGTGCATTTGGTTTGTTCATCAGGTTGCATTTGCTGGAGCTCTTGAACAACATTTTCTTTCATGAAGGATTCAGTACAACAAAGACTATGAGACTGTAAAAACGACAATAAAAGAGATCAAAACTACGGCAGTTCATAGCAAACAAGGAAGAAAACTTAATTAGAGTATTCATAGAAAGGAGTGAATTTTATTATAATTCACAAATCAAACATAACAATTTTGTAACTTCACTTACTTTATAACATGGGAGGGAGCAGTATCGTGAATTGCATCGAGGACATGTGTATTGAGAAAACTGCTTCTGACATCTATTTTCATATGAAAATGTATAAAAGAGATTAGCTTGATCAGTATTCTTACTACCAAATAAATATTTGAAAAACTATAATAAAATCCAGAGGCACTTACACATGACAGATTATTCGGGTAGCGTTTAGCGAGGAAGTAGAAGATTGGTCAGATGTAACTATAGTATCTGCCATTATTCAAACACCAGGGCCAACAAGTTACTTTCCTTTGATTACGAACTGCAACTTTCCTTTGAATCACAACAGATTCAGCTTTAACCTGAAACTCTATTCCAAATCAAAACACACATCAGCATCAAATGGCAACATTCAATTCATCAAAAACATAACAATAACACAATCCATTCCACACAGAACAATTTACAAACACCTTATATGCATATCAAAGAGTAGAAAATATGGAAATACTCACCGGGAGCAAGTTCAAGAAAAAAACGAAACAGGAAGGTGCATTCGACGAGATAGGATTCAGGTTCTTTTGTTTTCCACGAAAAATTGAAGTAAGGAGAAAAGATTGTAAGGTTGAAGGTGTTGTGCGCGCGAGAAGATTCAAGATGAAAGTGTTGAACTTTTATCCGACCGTGCTGGTAATGTTCGAGATCCTTCAATCCTCTCTTCTTCGTGTCCGAAGCGGATAGTCGCACCTTATATCTCACAAAAGAGAACCTCCTTGGATGCCTTTGATTACCTTTCTGAAAATGTGTTTTTTTTTTTTTATCAATTAATTAATTAATTTATTATTATATATAAGATAGCGCTTTTTAATAAATGCTATTATATAGGTAGTCAAATAATAGCGTTTTATACAAAATGCTATCTTAAAGAAGTTTAATAATAGCGTTCTGGTACAAAGTGCTATCAAAATTACATAGTCTGTATTATATAATAGCGCCCGATTAAAAAGTGTTATTATAAATGTGTTTTTTCCATTTTAATAGCATTTTTTTTAAAAGTGCTATTAAATTAGGTGATACAAAAAATCATTTTTGGCGTAGTGACACCACCAACAGTTCCAACAGTTTCATTGACTTTGTTAATCTCTTTAACACCACTTGATTTCTCATCAACTTCAAAAGCAGAAACTGGAAAAGTCTTAAAGAGTCCAGCAGGAGTTTGAAAAGTGATTTTACCAGTAGGTGGATCATCAACATAAATATCACTTAGTGTAATCCAAATGAAAAGCTCTTTTGTTTTTACACCACTCAGTTTCTTAATCTTACCTTTTTCAACATGAGCAGTGACTTCAGTAGCATAAGAAACAAGTTTTCCAATCTTTTCAAACTTATGTGTTATGCTTTTCTTCTGTTTCAACCAAACGAAACCGGTTTCTTCGTTGTAACCAACTTCAATGATGTCTTTCAATGGTAACAGACCATTAGGGAGAGCAATTTCTCTAAGAAGCTCTTTGGATTTCAGGCGACACATTTCGTCTCCATGGTATACTTCTGATTTCGATTTGATTTCTTCGGTTACCAAAGACATTGTTTTGAGTTGCTGTTATTTGAAGGAAGGTAATGATACTGTTTTGGAGTTGTTTTGGTGTGTGGTTTCAATAGGTTGTGGTTGGGTTCGTTCTTATATACAACTCGTTTTGTAAAATTACCCTTCTATCTTTCGTTAATTTCAATAACTGCCATTGTTCTTTATTAAATGCCACATTTAATTCCTTATCTTCCTTGGCCACTAGCAACCCACTAAATTAAAATAAAAATTAAAATGTTACAGCAAAATGATTTTTTATTCTTTGTTATAATAAATAATTTTTTATTCTTTATTACAGCAAAATATTTTTATATTAAAAGACATACTCTTAAAATGTTTTTTTTTACAACTGAATGATTGCATTAGATGTAAGATGATATGCAGCTATACATGCATGAGAGGAAAGAGTTATGTACAAGTCCATGCTAGTAAATTACCTATCGGGGCGTTTGTTTCAATGTGTTAAAATTTATTTCTTGAAATTACTATCCAAGAAAAATAAATATAGGAAATTTATTCTAAAATATTTTTCTCAAAAATTGTTTGGCAAAAATTTTATTATTCTCAGAAATATTGTAATTTTTATTAATTTATTTAAAAAAAGTATATAAAATTTCATGAGAATTCACTTTCCAATCCTTTAACATGAGAAAAATTTCATAAGAATAAGAGAAGTTATAAGAAGTTATTTTGTTCTTTGAAATTATTATACACAGGAATAATTTTTTTCAACCTTGTAACAAACATGGATTTCCTCACTTTTTAACTATGTATTCCCAAGAATATAATTTCTAAACTTGAAACAAACACACCCTATATAATTAACTTTTAGTTAGTTACAACCATCTAAAGCCAAGTATAGTGTATATAAGCATGCTAGCTCTTGTGATACAAATTTACTGAATAATACACAAAGCTAGCAAAGCTTGCATTTATTGGTGAAGCTCTCACATTTTACTTCCTTCATGAGTAAGTAATTTTTCTAACGTGGTCTTATATTTTTTGGTATAATTACCTCAAGAGTCTGTTAAGTTATTTAATTGTAATAGATTACTCCTTTAAGTTTTTTTTTTATTACAAGTGAGTCCTTTAAGTTAACTAACGTGTGCACTGTAGACCTTTTTTTCTTCATTTTTTTCAATCTTAAATTAAACAAATCATCTGAAATACATACAGTTAAAACAAAATGCATATATGAGCATCCAAAATACATAAAGTAACATCTAAAAATATAAATTCAAAACCTAATTCAACTGTAAAAAAAATTTAAAAGACCAAGTTGTTACAAAAAAAAAAAAACTTTAAAGACCAATTTATTATAATTAAATAACTTAAAAGACCCCTGAAGTAATTATGCCTATATTCTTAAAAGAGATCTTCTTCACCTGCACTATCCTTAACCTAAAGTTTTCACTATTGTTAGAGCTTTAAAGAAGTTGCACTGCAATCAATTTTCATAGATTTCAAAGAAACTGCATATGAATTAGTGAGTTAGTTATAAGTTAAACTGATCTTGACGGTTGATCAGAACTTGAAGTGGGCTCCGTCTTCAACGCTGGATCACGGAGGAGGATGGGGTGTAACTGCAAGGCATTCTGACGCTCAAGTAAGAAAGAGTGCAAAGAGATAGAAGAGTATTAGGGTTTGAGATTTGAATATTCAATACCTGACCTGCACATGTGTGAGGGTTTATATAATTCCATCAGCGCTTGGCCATTGGTTTATATTGTGGCTTGGACATCCATGATCCATGTCCAAAATATGTGACTGTCAGGAATATAGGCGTGAAACCAGAAATCTTGGAAGGTTGCCAGCGCGTGACGGGCATAGTGAAAACTAATTGTAACGGCGTGCAGGAATGTCGTTAAGGGAAGGAGTGGTTATGTCAACCACAGATGGTCCTCGGGGTCATCTGGCCATGTTTCCCCAGCCGAGGAGCAGATTTGTGCTCATCATCTTCGAGAGCTAGTCGTTGCTATAGGCAGAGATGCGAGCGATGGCAGTGGTGATTATGCCGAGCTTGTGTCCAAACGACCATGCATCCCCGGCTGTTATGTAGAAGGGAAAAAGTTGTCATTGTCGACCAAGACTTCTCAGAATCGTTTGGCAAACTAGTCGTTATAACGGGCAATTTGTGAGTCAACCATTCTAACGAGTAAAGGAGAGGAGTTTCCTGCGGGCACGTGTACCCAACCGAAGTGCATGAGAGGAAAGTGCCTTCTGCCGACCCTTCTTGGTTGGGACAAAGATTTTGGGTCGTCCTAGAAATATAAGTGGATTTGGTCATGTTTAGCCATTGGGCCAACCCAGAACAGGAGCCCCTAACTTGCTGCTTCTGGGCATATGAGTAATGACTTATAGTCAACCAGTATGTGGAGGAGGAAAGTGCGTTGTTAGCACATGTTGAACGGGATGAGGACGCTTTGTGATGTCCCCGAGGAGGTGCTCGTGCGAAGAGACGAAATTTGTGCTCGTGACGAGGACTTTTGTTAGGCTTTTTTTGCTTGTTGGTTTTAGTTGTTCATTTTTAGAACTGTTTTGCTAAGTGTTTTGGGATTTTGATCGATAATTTTGATGTTCGATAGTGTGGGGAACTCGTCGAAATGGCCGGGGTTGATTTTTGGGAAGAGAGCGGAGTTTAAGTCTCATTTTGTGACCTGAGCCCTGCAGCGTGAACTTCCCACTGCGAGCTGGGAATTTTTCCATCGTGGTACGATGATGAGGGGCTCGATTGAGGGTTCCCCGTCGGGCTAAGGGTATGCTCGTCCCAAGAGTAGAAACTTTCCTTTTGTTTCAAGTTGGGATGTTGTACTTGTACCTGAGCACGCATCTGTAGTCCGGACATACTGTGTTCGTTGTTTGACAGGGCACACCGACTATTAGGGCTTAATTGTAAAATTGTTTCAATTTCTCAGTGTTTCATGGTCGAGCAATTTCTTCCCCACGTAGATTTTCGAGATAGTATTCCCTATTTCCTATTTTTCTCAGGCGTGGTAGTATCTCTAGGATGAAAGACTCATTCCACTTTTCTTCTTTGTGCTTGTGAGCTTCGAGAGGATGTCTGCTCGAGTGTTGTGTTCGCAGGGAACATATGTGTGCTCAGATGTTGCGTTCGTGGGGAACGTATGTGTCCTCAAATGTTGTGTTCACGGGGAACGTATGCCTACTCAACTGTTATGTTTGCGAGGAACATATGCTTGCTCGATTGTTGTGTTTGCGGGGAATAATT